GAAGGGGGAATTCCAAGGAAAGTTTCACAAAGATGAACAAAGACAGAAAGATGAAGGACAACATTGGGAGCAAGATAATTCAGGCTAATCCCAAAATAGCTGAGAAATTGATGAAGGAAGGTGGAAGCAGGAAGGCAAAGTCCAGCACGAATAAAGGAGACGAAAAGAATGATCTCACCAGGACCTAGGGCAGGGACCTGATGCTCACCTGGAGCTCTCCATTCAGCAATGTCCTTGCTCTGGATCAAGCCATCGCTGATAAGCTCGCGAAGCTGGACTTCAGTCATTGTTGGAGACGGCCAAACCTTCTGGGCAGCCCTCATGGCCATGAACTCTTGGTTCTCGATCACGGAAAGGGATGACTTCTCGTCCACGAAGGCTGCCTAGGACTTGCTCACGATTTTCTTCCTACCCATGTACTAGCGGAAGCAAAAAGGCACTAGGGAAAGACGAGACTAAGACGGCGGCGCTCAGGTGACGGCGACAATGGCGGCGGTGGATTTCTAAAAGCTAGGGCTTCAAGGCAAAAAGGAGCAGTAAAGAACAAGAAGACGAAAAGGCTTTTTAAATAGATCTTACAGCAGTAAAACGTGGCCCACCAGGCTCGTAAAAGCACGATGTGAGAACGCAACGGTCCATTTACTGACACAGCTAAAAAGACATAAGGTACAAATCCACATAACGGTACAGTTCAACGGGCAGATTTTGGACTTATCCATCCAGCAGAACGACAGAGCTATCATATTGCTACAAAAAGAACTCATCAACCATGAAGCAATGAAAGGTTACCTCACAAGGAGCATAACAACCCAGTCCTTATAGAAAGAATTCGAGAATCTAAAAAACAAACAGGACATCAGCAGGATAAAGAGTGACAACTCAGAAGACAAGATTCTTTCCATTACAAATGACTTCAAAAGATACAAGATTACACATCTTACAAGACCCAACGAACTCGGTACTACGACAGGCAAGGTAGCAAAAAGGAACTCGGAGACGACTAGGTTCTGGAACGATTACGTACTCTAAATTGCTACTCGGTAGAGCAAACCGCACCTGGCTACACTGTTTTCTTCAAAGGAAGAAAGCAGCACATCCAAGGCGGAGATCAGCGGCACGGTGGGACAACATAGAACAAGAGGAGCCTGCAGGCATCTGTCTACCCAAGTCTGATGTGATACCGGATATGGTGTTGATCTGCACCGGACAGACTTAGGGTAGGCGTCGAGGATCAACCCAGAACTGCTGGATGAAGGAACGCATCCCACATCACAAGACTTCCTCCAACTACCACCATGTACTTCCCGGAGCAATGCCACTGCAGGATTAGTCTACCTCTAATCCCTATCACAAGACTTCCTCCAGCTACGACAAGATGCACAAGAACTACAAAATACACCCGAGGGCTGCTCTACTTCACAAACTATCATATTCATGACTACAGGGATTTCAAACCACACAACAAAGTGCTCGATGAATCAAAGCAGCACACAAGGAGGATATTTATAGACCAAAGAAGCGGTGCACATAGACCGGGAGCACCAGCGGAACAAACCTAACAAAGGACACGGTGAAAAGACAGAATTCAATGAAAGAGAACTCAGGCGTAAAGGAACAGTACTCAACAACAAGCATATTCGGGAGAATGTACCAACACTGTACAACCCATGAACAAAAGGCATTTACACTCAACCACCACCATACAACTACACCTGACAACAGCAGACTCTACCTCTGAAAGCAGCAGACTCTACATCTAAAAGCAGCAGACTCTACATCTGACAACAGCAGACTACCAGAGGATATGCCAAGATTCTGTATCCAAGTTCTTTTTGAAGAATGCTCGGGGGTTGCATCAGGGAAAGTTTTCAGTTCTTTGAACAACTCAGATTCAGGACCCTCCAACTCTTTGTTCCAAATAGCAAGAGGCTCGGGGGCTACACTCAGTGAGTGCACTTTTTCTTCAAAAAAACGCACATCACTCAAAAGACTTCTTCAAGACAAGAGTTGCAAAACAACATAAGATTCAAGACCCTCCAACTCTTTGTTCTAAATAGCAAGAGGCTCGGGGGCTATACTCAGTGAGTGTACTTTTTCTCCAAAAAAGCGCACATCACCAAGAAGACTTCTTCAAGATAGATCACTTCAAGACAAAAAGAACCCGGACCTAGCTATATCCGAGCTCTTTTTTGATAAAGAACCCGGGTATATGCTCAGGAACCCCCTCGACGAAGAATCAGAGTGATTTCAAGAGAAGACCCTCCAGCTTCTTGTGCCAAAAAGCAAGAGGCTCGGGGGCTACACCCAAATGGGAATACTTTTTTCTTCAAAAAGGTACACACCAACCAAAGATCTCACGAAGCGCTACACGGTTTCGCTCAAGAAAGCACTCGGATGACCCTTGGTTCTACTTGGCAAGACCTGAAGGAACAAGACGAGGCTTCCAGAACTCAACCATGAAGTGCCCAGGGGCTTGTCGATGCGGGACCCACAGGATACCCCGCCAGGAAGGGAGAAGGTCTAGTCCAACTAGGATTCTTCCCATGTAATCCTAGTAGTAGTATTATTCTGTAATCCTACTAGGAACTCTCATTGTAAACCGACTAGGACTCTGATCTCCTGACTATATAAAGGAGGACGGGGTTTCTAGGGACGGGAGGACCAGAGAACACACCATACAACACAACAACACGCAATCAATCCAACACAAAGGCTAACGCCGACTGGACGTAGGGCTATTACTCGATTACGGTCGAGGGCCCGAACCAGGATAAATCGATTGTCTCTTGCGTTCACCGTCGAGTTCCGCATACGCTGAAGCCCGAACATACTGTCCCGGGGACCCCCGTGGCAGGCTATCGGTGGTCAAACATCGACAAGGGTGTCCTCAGAGTTATCTAAATGAACGATAGATCTTCTTGGATTTCCATGCCTTTAACATCCCTAGAAGCAAATCGTCCTTCATACTAATATGAAGACCCATTGAAAAACCCATTGAACCAAACAAAAATTTGGAATGGAAGAGATTTTGTTATTTTCGCTCTGACATGCAATACTAGAGTAGAGTCATAACCAAAGTCGGACCATAGAGAATTGTCTATCATTGCCACTTTAGCTGATTTGGCTCAACCAAATTGGGAGGAAGAAGTCGAGCACCTCATTCAAAATGAAGAGCCGAATACATATATGGAGCTTGATAAATAGGAACAAAAGCAAAGTCCCATCTAGCTCAAACCTTTATAAATCAAAATAAAGTTTAAAGGAGGAGGAATGACATTCCAATAAAATAAGAGGAACGAGTTGATTTCTCGTTAGACCGATATTTGCTGGCAGATGTGTATTAACTATATAGAACTAAACGAGAACTTTACACAGTTATTTTTGTTACTAGCTAGCAAATCACCGGCGAGCTCAACGTTGGGTAACCCAATTTTTCAACGTGTATAATTAGTTGTACCCTTAAATACCATTGGTAGCAAAAATAATGGGTATTCAATGAATACCATTGAATCCCTCGCCTAACATATGTATGTAGTTTGCATGTATCGACTAATTCAATAGAAAAAAATAATACTCCTGGCCCTCAATTTCTAATATAAGACGTTTTGATTTTTCTAGGTACATTGCTTTTTTCTATGTATTTAGACATACACTATATTTGCATAGCAAAAGCTATGTATGTAGAAAAACAAAAACACATTATAATTTAGAATATAGGGAGTATAAACTAAAGAACCAATTCACTCGGTTTAACATTACACCCAACCAACCGAATCACTACCCCAAACAACCCCCACCCCAAAAAACCACAACAGTTCAAAAGGTGAAGGAGATTGGAGTTTTAAAAGTGAAAAAATTCTAGTGTCGGGCTCCCTTAAACAATCGTTGCTTTTCTGACTGCTGCAATGATTCGGTGGTCCGGTCATTGCTGTTCTTTTGGGGGAAGAACATAGCTCTACTCCTTGTCATCATCAGAGCTTCGCCCGCCGAAGCGCCTCTATTCCTGCGCCTGCGCTGTCGAGCACCACTTCCCCCTGAAACGAACCATGCATGCCAAACAGCTCACACGATCCCTCACTCACATGCCCTGTAGCAGTCCGCGTGTTTGGTTTGGTTTGCTTGGTTTGCTTGGCCCTTTCTAGTTTCCACGTTCCGCATGCGCGCACGCGACTGGCGACGGACGCCGCTGCTGCCGCGGAGCAGATGAGATGAGAAAGCGCCCCAAGCCCCGCGATTTTTTTCCCCCTTCCTCCCGCGCGGTTTCCCTCCAACCCTCCACCCCATGTGCGTCATTTCAGCCGCTTCCGCCGCCCCGCCCTTCCCCACGGCACAGCTCGGCTGAGTCGGCTCGGCTCGGCTCTGCTCTCACGCGCACCACCGGCACCACCACCGCGCCACTACCACTACGCTCCCCCGACACCCCATTTGCCGCGCTGTGCTGTAGCACGCAGGTGTAGACGCCGCCCGCCTAATCCTGCGAGTTTTCTCGGAGAGGCGCGTTCGGCCAGGACTGGTACTGGTACGGCGCGCGATCTGATCCGGCCCTTTTCCCCCGGCGCCTGAGCTGTACCCGTGCCAATCAATCATCGAAGCGGGTGAGGAAATCTCGGCACATTCGGCTTGTACTTGCCCGCACCTACCGCCTTTGCCGGCCGCGCCGCGCGCTGCTGGTCAGAGCCAGAGGCACCGGACGAGCTCAGCTGCCTTAACTAGCAGGAGGAGGAGTGTATAATAAGCAGCGGATCACGTAAAAGCAATCGGCGGCCAAGGAAAAAGCACAAAGCGGCAGGAGAACGGCCCGGCCCCGGCCCCGGCCGGACGCCAATCCTCCGTGTCCGGTGGCTGGCGCAACTCGACCAAACAACCGCCTTTTAAAGCCGTTCGCGTTCCTGACCCCCGCTCCCCACTCGCACTCGTCGCCCCCCGTCTGTTCTCTCTCTCTCTGATCGGCAGGAGGGAAAAGTGGATGCTCCAGCGAAGCGAGCACCATAATCGTTGCCATGGAGAGGTCTCTCGACAGCTACTCCGTCAAGGACGTCACTTACAGGTTCGATTCCTAGGCGATTCGGTTATTTCTCTGCCGTTTCCCAACTTCCTTCTTCTGTTGCCGCCCTGGATCAAAACATTTCAAATCCGTTGATCCTCGCTAGGAAGTACGGGATGTTTCCATTGCGCTTTACTGCTATTCATTCTCTTTGCTATTCGCTATGTGATTCTCCACAGAGAACCGCAGTTCGCTTGTTGGTTTCAGCCAGCCCAAACCAATCAGCCAACAGTGTTTTTCTCTCACAAAAAACCAGCACCAGCCAGCCTAAACCAGCACCCACACCAACCAGCGAACAGGCCCAGTATTTAGCGTTTTACTGTGTGTCGAATCCGATTCTTTGCGATTGATGCGAATTGTCCCAATCATTTTCCTTCGCCTATTGGCCTCTGCAAGCTTGCTAAGAACAAGTGGAAGCCCCAGTTCATACTCAAAACCCAGACTCGGTGTGTCACTCTTTACTTAAGGTTTTGATTAGGGTAACTGAGAAATACACCTGCCAAATTCTCTGCAAAAGCGAGAGATATTCAAGTACCAGCATTCACGCCCTCTGCACCTGCAACTGTCGGGTGGTTTTCCTGGCTGGCAACATGCCACTCACTCACACTCGCCCACTGTTTACTGGCAGCTGCGGGTACTGCGGCTACGCGCTGAACCTGAGCTCCTCGGCGCGGGATACGGAGGGCATCGGGTCCAAGTGCCGCAAGCAGATCAAGAAGGGCGTCGTCGCCTTCGTCGCGGTCGACGAGAGCCGGTTCACGCTCACCGACGAGGTCACCTGTATGCCCTACTTCCGCTCCACCCGCTCCTGGGGCCTCTTCAGGAGGCGGGCGCGCCTGCTCTGCCGCAAGTGCGACGGACGCATCGGCAACGCCTACGACGAGGAGGACGCCGCCGCCAGGGACTCCAGCTCCAGCCTGTTCGACGGCGACGGCTCCTCGGATGACATGCGCCGGAGCTCCGGCTTGGGCTCGGGCCGCAGCAGCATCGTGTCCAGCCAGAAGAACTACGTGATCAAGATCAGCCCGCTGCAGCCGTCGTCAGAAGATTCTGCTGCTGTTGTTCCCTTCACACATCGATGATGCAGGTGTCGAGTTGCTGGTGCTGCGCCGTGTTCTTCTTCCAGCTTGGTTGAATTTGAATTTGCTGCAACCTGGGGATGTGAGTGGTGTATGCAGTGCAGGAGGACAAAATGCAGCAAGGGGACATCTTGGCATGCCTAGACTTTTCAGAGGTTTGATCATCTGCATGCTGCTTTCAGTCATCTTGCTGTTTGTAGTGGCTTTTTGTTTCCTCTGTACGTCGGTAAGTTTACAGCGACATGGTTGTTGAAATTTTGGTTGGCGCTAGGAAAATGATTAAGTTTGCTGTATTTCGATTGATCCATAGCGTTTGTATTATGTCATGGAATTGCAATTTTGATTAGTCTTGTCTCACTTGCATGTGCGAATGATTTAGCTTTCTAGCATTCTTCCTTTCTTGAGAAAAATCATTTACTGGTACAGTGATATAATTTACTCATTAGTATTTGAATTTTACTGTAGGCATCCAAATTACGCAATTAAGGCTTGTTTGGTACATCAAGTCCAACTCATGATTCTCTATGGGAAGTGATTGTCCGAGAGAAGAGAATCTATGGATAGAAGTGGTTCTCTATGACAATTTCTATATAGAATTGATTATAGGCAGCCCTTCTAGTTCATTTCAGTGGATCACTTTATGGAATCAAAATAGAATCACATTCTTTGGGTAAAAAACGGTTTGGCAAATCTCCTCTAGAAGCTGCTCTAGGAGCTAAATAGTCCCTTAGAATTGTTAGCCACAAACAATGCAGTTTCTTTATAAATTAAGGCACTCATATATGCAGCAGCTCACTGAGAACAAGGACTTGGAAGCATACGTAGTCAGGGGTCAGGGGCAGGTGGGTTCATACTAGTACCTTAGTTGGACGACATGGTTATGATAAAAAAAACAATATGCAAATAGAAAAAACACGGGCACGGTACTATTTGGCCCAGTACGAAAACGGCCCGGCCCGGCAGCTACCGTGCCCGTGCCTGGGTCGCGATGCCAGCACGATGGCACGGCACGGGCACGGCCCGCTTCAACGGCCGGCACGGGGGCGGCACGGCCTCGAGCCGTTGGATGGAGCCCCCCGCCTGCTGACCGTTGGATCTAGGGGTCGGGTGGGACGGCTTTATAAGCCAGCCACCGCTCCTGGCTCCGAGCCTTTCCAAACCCTATCTCATTCTGTCAATTCGTCCCCTGTCCCCATTCCAGCCGCATCGAGTTCTCCCATCGACTGAAACCCTAGCCGCTCTCCTCTCTTCTTCTCGCCGTCCGGTGGCTGGTTAAGGCGGCGGTTGCTGCCTGCTGCCACGGGCACACGGCACTTCTACACCACTCTTCCTTCCCCCTAACCGTCGATGTAGCTTTCTCGTCGAGATCCACCACCGTTCGTCTTCGTCTCTGTCTCGTCGCTCTCATCGACCTCGCCGGAGTCCGACATCATTGGGGCTCCGCTCTGATGCGTTGAGGTACCAGGGTGTCGGGTCTCCGCAACGTCGTCGTCGTCGTTGTCTCTGGTGCTCCGTCAAGAGAGGTGAGCCGTAACCCTAGATCTGTTCGTTTTTGTTCTTCTTCTTGATTTCTTCATGATCTTCTATTAACCCTAGGTGTTCTTGTTGTTCTTGGTTTTGGTAGGCGTTGGCGTTGAGGGACCGGAGGCCAGAGGCCGGCGACGACGAGATGTCGGACGAGCAGGAGGACATCGGTCTCTCCATGACCACCAACGACGAGCTGCGCCTCTACGGGATGACCGGAGATGACGAGGACGATGTCGCTGGGGATGCTGAGGAGCTCTTCGGCCGTCGTGCTGCTGAGGAACTCTACGGCCGTACTGCTGCTGACCCGCTTCTTGTCGACGACACTGACGCCCCCAACACCGGCTGCGCTGTCCAGGACGCCGCCGCTGCTGCTGATGGCTCCAACAGCAGGCCTAATCGCCCTTCTACCTCAGTATGCTGGGAAGATTTCGAGAAGCTCGCCAAGAAGGTAAATGGTAAGGTTGTCAGGTATGGCGTTCGGTCACTGCCGTAAGGAGTATTCTGCGTACTCTAGATTTGGGACTGGCCACCTTCTCCGTCATCAAGACTCTTGCCCTAAGAAGCGTGAGAAATGTCGCATGGCTCAGTCCCACATTACTTTCAATAAGGACGGTACTATGCGTAATTGGGAGTATTCGGCTAAGGTTGCTCGTGTTCAGCTTGTTCGTTTGCTTGCTAGGTTAGATCTTCCCCTCAGTCTTGGGAAAACTGAGGCCTGGGAAGATTACATAAAAACTGCTCATAACCCTAGGTACACAACTGTTTCTAAGCAAACTACAACTAGAGATATTTTTAAGTACTTTAATGAAAAGCGTGATCGTTTGATTGATGATTTGAAGAGTAATGCCATTTCCTCCGTTGCTATTACCTCTGATATCTGGTCTGGAAATGCAAAAGAAGATTATTTGAGTGTTGTTGGTCATTACATTAATGCTGATTGACAACTTGAAAAAAAGGGTGCTTGACTTAAGGCTTATTGATGCATCACATAATGCTGATAACATTGTTGAACGTGTTAGTAATGTGCTTAATGATTATGGTATATTGAAGAATGTTTTTTCTGTTACTTTGGACAACGCCTCTGTTAATACTAAAGCTATGGATAAACTGAAACCTGTACTTAGAGAGTATTTGGGTGCTGATCTGTTTTTGCATCAACACTATGCTTGTCATATCATAAATCTGATTGTTAAAGAGGCTCTGGTTGTTGTTAGTCCTATGCTTGATGCTTTCAGAACTGCTATATCATTCATTAACTCTTCTAACCAGAGAGTTGCTGCATATAAGAGCTATTGCATGGCATCTGGTATTAGACCTAGAAAGTTTGGATTGGACATGGAGGTTAGGTGGAAGTCTACCTACCTGATGCTTAGGCATTTACTACCATACAAGAAAACTTTCCATACTTTCATTGAGTCTAATTATCCTAAAAAAAGAGCTGACCCCTTTCTTTTGACTCATGAGCATTGGGCTATGCAACTAAAATACTGAAATTCCTTGAATTGTTTTATGTCTCAATAGTTGCTTTGTCTGGTGTGTACTATTCTACTGTCCCACTTATGGTTCATCATATTGTTAAGATTGTTATACACCTGCATAGGTATCAAAATGATGAGCATATTAGAACTGTTGTCCAACCTATGATTGATAAGTAAAATAAATATTGGAGAACCATACCTGAACTTTATTGCATTGCATTTATCTTGGATCCAAGAGCTAAAATTAAAGGTTTTAATAAAGTTCTTAGCAAGTTAAATTTGCTTACTGATGTTGATTATTCTAATAAGATGGTGGAAACTAGAACTCTTCTTTTCAAACTGTATCATAAGTATGATGATTTGTATGGCTATGTTAGGGCGAAAAGGCCTGACCCTCCAAGCCTATCTGGTAAGAAAAGAACAGCTTGGGCTGAGATATATGATGATGATGGTGGTGGTGGTTTACTTGGAGCTGGTTGTTCTTCTCTTCCTCCTAATCTTGATATGCCCAGGACTATTCCTGCTACTACTTTGTTACATGCAGCAAGTTCATCTAACACTGGTTCTGAACTTTCAGCTTATCTGGACTGTGACACAGTTAGCCTGATGGATGATGACTTCAACATCTTGAACTGGTGGCATCAGCATAAACTAACATATCCAGTTCGTTCTACCCTTGCTATAGATGTTTTCAGTGTGCCTGTTTCTACCATTTCTTCTGAAGCTACTTTTAGTACCACTGACAGGATCATTGAAGACCGACGGCGGAGGCTGAACCCTAAAACTGTGGAGGCACTCACATGCATCAAGGACTGAGAAGCTGCAGAGACAAGGTTACAGCATATGGTGGAGGATAAGGAGCTCGAGGAGGTCTTTGAACAACTTTATCTTAATTAGTCATTTATGTAATGGTTCTGTAATCTTAAAGACTTGGATGCTTTGGACCTTTGGTTGTGGATGTAATGAACAATTGAACTTATAGAGCTGGTTGCACTCTTTTTTCCTGTCTAGGGTTTCTCACAAGGGTGAGTTTTACCTAAACAGGTTTTTAATGAGGCAGCCATTGCACAGCTCCTTTAATTTGGTATTTTGTTATCTCTGTCTTGTGTTTTCTTCTTTGTGATTTCAGATTCATCAGATTTCAAGTTTATTTTTGAACTGTTCTTTTGATTCTGATATGTTGAAGTGGTGATGTGGTTTTAGTGCCAAAGCACGGCACTAGTCCGCTGGGCTGCCGTGCCCTGTGACATGGCACGGCACTATCTGAGGGCTTTAGTGCCGTACCTGGGCCAGAGTCTGGGCACGGTGGCACTACAAGGCACGGCACGACAGTGATACCGTGCTGTGTAGTGTTAGTGGCCTGTAGTGCCAGTGCCGTCCGTTTGAAAACTATATAGTTAACCAATTCTTTAATCAGTATCCTAGTTAATTAACAAGGCAGCGGCCAACCGGAATCGGCCAGCGCGTCATGGATTTAGCATGGGCGCTGGCTTCTGCGCTGACCAAAGCGCCATGCTATTGCAGCGACGGCCGTGCGGATATGGATGCAGATGTCCAGGGTAGTGGAGGCGTGGCAACGTGACTAGTGCAGCGAAAAGAACCAGGGGGGCACGCATGTTTATACGGGGGGCGTGGCCGCGATGCGCTATCCTCGCCTGCGCGGCCGTGAGCCCGTGAGACACCCGGAGAGACCGCGAGAGTTGGGCGGCACGTCCGCACGGCACCGGCGCACCGCAGACGGCAGGTCGTCAGGGGGGCGAAAATTGCGAAAATCCCCGGCCACGACGTCCAAATCGGCACAGGCGGAACCGCGCAGGACAAGCGTAGGCGAATTCATTGCGGAGCGCGATGTTGTTGTGACTTGCTGTGATTGGCGCCAGGTGGAGGCTGAGATTAGGTGCCCCGTGGGCCGTGATGTTTGGTCAGCGTCTCTACTTTTGCTCGTCCACGCTGGTCAGCGTCTCTGCTTTTGCTCGGCCATGCTCTCATCGGCATCTT